TTTTTTTTATCATGCGATTTTGGGCCCACATGTCATACTCCAGCTCAGCTCTAGCCTAGACAGGACAGGACGGCTTGAACCCAGCTCTGTTACGCGTGCTACCTAACAGGGTGGACGAATGTTGTATGTATTTCTTTTCCATTCCAGTGATTTCTACTAAGGTTACTCGTTGGAGACACATTATAGGATTCTTTTGAAAAAGTTCAAATCGTAAACTTTTTTGTTTTTTTTTTACAAATTTGTTATCAATTTTGCCCCTGAACTGTTTCTCGAATTTGAAACGATCCCACACATTAATTCGGTAGGCAAGTAGGATCGGATGAAGAGTTAGTGACGAAGAAGGTTTAAAGAAGCTGGACGACAGCGAACTGGTCGCCGGATGGAGTGTGAACCAGTGGTGTGGTAAGCTGAAGCTCAGCCACGTGAAGTTATTCATTTGAATTACAACAGGGAAATGTAAATGTAGATATTCTAATGTCAAAAAAGTTGGAAACAAAAGTGCCAATAAAAGGAAGGTATGCTACAAAGGCTTATAACAATTACAGGTGATGAAGAGTTCATCTCCTTGATCTAATTCAAATCGTAAAGAGTTAAAACGTTAACAAATTTGTTAGTACACAATGGTAAATGAAGATAGAATTACTCATCTCCATTTCTCTTGTAGATCTTTCCTCTCCGACAGTACCCATGTTACGAAGATTGCTGCTACAAGCGCAATAATGGTGAGGAGAAGCAGGGCATAGCTGAAGTCCTCGGTGAGTGAATCGTATGTCCTTGAAGGCGCAAGCTGAGTAAAGAAGAGGTCCACTCCATGTGCAAAGACAAGGGTTGTTGATTCAAGCTTAGCTGGCACTGTTATGATTCCCCGAAGACCTTCCACTTTAAGAGCGTGTGTAACGTAGGACTGTACAAAAAATTAAATAAGAGCTCATTTATAATTTTTCTTACGCTCTAGTCCCTTCCCAATCTAGCAACCCAAAAGGAGAAACACAATTAAAATTGAAAAATGCATCTCATGGTTGGTTGCTCCAATGGTCTGCATGTGTCCCCCCACCTGCCTTTGTTCATTTATGTATTAAGGGGACCACAATGAACTGTTGGTACCTTCTTGAGAAAGTAACAACTGCAAGCAACCATCTTAAGAAAAATAGGGTGGAGAATGAATGATGTAGGGTAACAAGAAGCACAAAGCAAACTGTTCTTTTTTCTTTTACTGAAGAATGAATGTAGGGCAACTAACCTGAGGAATGATTGGCAGTGAATCTGTAAGCGGTATAATTCCCTCTTCTTTCTCTGCTTGCGTAGGGTTGACTGTTCGACGAGGATCCAGAAAACGCTTATCAAGTGCCAAAACCTGTCGTAGAAGAGGCTTGCACTCAGTACATTCATGGATTCCACACAAAGCCAGACTTTGCAATACAATCAAAAAGTCAAAACTAAAACAACATCAAAGCAACTGCTTTCTTGATTTTGAAAACTTTAACCAACCTGATCACCAATTGTACCAATGAGAAGCTGCTTCGAAGTAATACCCTTGGCTGTCAACGTCACAGCCATTGCTTTCACAGAATGGGTAAAGAAATACGACTGTGATTTTGTTACAACTTCTGGTCGAGAATATGAAGAGATGGGTGAAGTAAGATTATGTTTTCCAAGAACAAGCTTCCAAACGTCTTTGTTTTCCTGCCAATTGTATCCAAGTAGACAGAGGTAAACATTTTGAATTAAGGATACAGAAAAAAATTTAGTCAAGTTAATGTACATACAGCTCGAGACTGGTCATAAATTTCAATGACTGACATCTCATATCTGTGTGCTCTAAGATTGAAGTAGTGGTAGACAACCCAGTTCTCACTAAAAACCTAGAAAAGAGTTAACGATTAACATTATGCATCCAAATTCATTGCATCTAGCAACTTCAAAATGTGAAGAGTTAAAGCACTAGAACTTACAGCATGCACAGGACCCTGTGAACCATGATGACTCATTCGGTGCAATATGCGACCAGTTACAGTGTCAATAAGATATACAATCAACCATGACTCCTCTGGGGTAGCAGATCCAATTTCACCACTAGCTTTTGGTGCAACGGTTGCCACAAAGAGTAGGTTCCTTGATATATATTTATACATCACATCCTGGTCTACTATAACCTTTGCTTGAGTATGAACAACCTGGAGAACCCAAGTGATGAGTCATTATGGTCAGAATATATAACACATTGTACAAATAAACACTCATAAAATAAAACCCAACAAAAAGAAAACATTCACAACTGAGAAATAGGAAATTTCGGCTTATCCATCAAGTAGTCACCATTACCCATTTTGCACATTTTACTGAAAATCTGAAAGCATAAGATCATCCACATCAAGGAGCTAAGAAGTCAACAAAACATCATCTAAGTGGAAATGAATGGTGCATTTGTTAGTCTTAGGCTGCCAAGTATAATGAGTGTGGTTTTAAGTCTAGAGACCAGTCACTTAGATAACAACTAAAGGTTAGGACAAAGTCCTAATCACCCCTTCCAATATGGCATTCTTGGTGGGATCATAAGTGGACATCATTGAGAAAACCTATGGAGTAGGAAGAGAAAAGCACAGCATACCTCATTTGGTCTTCTTGTCACAGTTGCAATGATCTTTTCTGATTCTGAGGGGAAAACAACTGACCATAACTCCCGCGTGCCAAAGCAGTATTCATCAGCCTCTTTGCCAACACATTTGCTTTTTAAAGCATGCCCCTTGATAATGCCATTATCAGCCTCAATTGAGTACCCATAAATGTTTGATAACTCACTTTGGAATATACCAACAGCCTCTGGAGTTTTTGGGTATAAATGTGCATGCTTGTCAGCATCAATTATTAAATGGAGTCGCTGTTCAGTTGAATCTGTAGATGGCAGTGGAACAACTTGGGCAACAGAATGATCAAGACCAAAAGATCTAAGCACCTTCCCAGTGTACGTATCAACAAAAGAAAGTACACCTAAGGCATCTGAACTTTGACCACACTTGCCAACTACAAGAACGGATGGATTTTCATCCATAGCATGATGATGAGGCACCTGCCACTGATACAAATTTACTCCCATTGGATGCTGACAATTTTCTGAGTAACGTAGCAAGGGTAGTAAGAGAGACCAGACAATCCGCCCATCTCCAGTGTGTAGGGCAAAAAGCTTCCCTGCTCTTGTTAACACAATGAGCAGCTTCCGGAAGCCATTGTGGTCCCGGGTCATTTTGCTCTTCTCAGAACTTTTCAACCTAATTTTTTGAATGGCTGCTACATCCTCAGGACTTGCAAGCATTAGTGTTCCCTTCAGCTTCAGCCAATGTCCCTTGCGAGAAAGATATATGCCAAGTCAAAATCACAATACCCAAGGAAAACAGTTTGTAAGATGAATTTTCATCTCATTTTTCAAGTTACTACGACTTCATCTTCAAAAAGAAGATACCAAGAGGAGTTAACTGCAGAACAAATATGTTTCCTATAGAACAAATGATATTATGTCCAAAAGATAAGCAGTTTCCCTCAGTCAAAAATAACATATATAAGCAATGGCAAAAAACATAATGCAAAATCACATTATTTAAACATCCTACAATACTTCTTTTCACAAGTAATTGAGATCATGCCTATATCTTAATTGGGTGCTTATCCACCAGTTTAAGCTTTTAGGTTAAATGGTTTTTTAAAACTGTAAGAGCATATAAATTTTATACCTTGCTGTGAATACGTACATATGATCACTGTCCACTCATATTTATATATCCTTTCAACCATGTAAGGGTCTTCAGAACAGTATCAAAATTGAATGCATACTCTATATTGACAGAAACCAAAAGATTTGCTTAAGAAAACAATTGAAAGAATTGCCTACCACAAATTTTGACATGCCTAAGCAAATGCTTTCCAACAAAATGCAACCAGAAAATAATGCCTTTTGACATGAGTAAGAATACCTTACTTTCTTGAGAAATAAGGTCCATACCTTAAGCCACTCAAATAGGTTATGCTCCACTTTGGCAACCGATACACCTTGCTTTTCCAGAGGGAGTTCTGAAGTAGTAATATCAACTATTGAGGCCAGGCTTTCTTCTCTACTCCAGACAACTGCACCTTGTTGTAATAATAATAATGAATGATCTTCCATTACAACCAACACTCTAAACCCATGAGACCTATCTGTTCGGATATAATTGTTTACAAAAACCTTATGAACAAGCCCCCTTTGCTGGTCCATTTCAATTGTTTCTTTAAGCAAATCACTACCCCAATTATCAGCAAGCTTCATTATGAGATGAATCTTATTGCCTTCATGTTGAACCAGTGCAAATGCCTGTTGGCCCTCTGTGAATGGGAGAGCATCACTAATAATGGTTGTGTGTTCAGTTTTGTCCACTACCTCCAACTTGCCTTCACCTGTAACTTTAATAAATACTGTTACTGCATTGATTTTAACAGCAAATATTCCTGTGACTGGTGAAGGTAACATCACTGCTGGCCCAGAAGACCCCTCAACAAGATGTGAAATGTATGCTTGTTGAAAACTGATTTTTCCACTTTGGAGGCTTATTGTTACCAAACTTGACCTGGCAGCATCAAGAGCCACTAGCGTCTCACTTGAAACTAATGAAAGTTCCTGAGAAAAATCACCAGTAAAGGCTGCAGTTTCATGCTGTAGCTCCTCTCCATTTTTAGCATTTATTTGATACACCTCGAACAGGGAGGAACTGGAAAATCCTACCACATAAATAAAATCACTTCCAGGAGGCTGAATAACCTGCTGGATCTTCAGGCTGCAGGCAGAAGGGAATACATCAACACACTGTTAAGTTCAAATCGGAAGGGAAAATAGGGGAAATTGTTGAAATCTAAAACTTTGAATTTGGACAAACCTTTGAGTGTCAAATTCCTTCTTCCAAAGAATCTCACCATCTACACTTGAAACACCATGAAGACAGCCTCTACCAAGAACAATGACCATGTTATCCTTATCAACTTTGGAACTTTTCTGCACAATGCTGCTTTAGTTAATCACAAGTTCATTTCAAAACTTAGAGAATATGTAATAGGTATATGCTAAAACCTTGACAACCCTTATACTGCCCTGTGAAAAATCAACTCCAGAAGTTATAGAAATTAACAAAGATGACTACAGAGATGAAATGGAAGAGATATTTTATCAGATAAACTAGCCTCTGATATCTGACATAGCATTTCAGGATAGACTGCACTTTTTACATGAAAGTTTTGATGAGAACAGACTTTTCTACCGTAGGGGTGGACCAACTGACAGAATAAAGTAGCTTTACTGTCAATATCACAGAGACTCTGATATACTAAACCAGGCTGAGCAAGATATGACTGCTTGCAAATGAATTGTACAAACCAAAATAGAATGGTTACTGGAAAGGATCAAACTAACCTCTACCAATAGGAGCGTCTTTGAGTCCTTTGGACCCTGAAGTGAAGATTCCCAAACCATCTGCCCATCAGGAAGGTTCCATGCTCTTAAAATACTTCCTCCTGATGAAAGAGTTATGACATCTGAAAAATTAAGTTTATTAAAATCTTTATCAACTGAACAACTTACAGCTCATATATTCTATAATAATACTAAAATGTAAAAAGGACCGTTAAATGGAATCAAATAAGATGAGTACCACTTGACACACATCAAAAGCTGGAACCTAACTCTACTGTATACCATGTTGGCAGTCAAAAGCTACTACTACCCTTGAGCACAATTTTCATCACTTTTTTTTTTTAACTCCATAGCAATCCAATTGCAAAAGACAATAGACAAACAATCAATCAAGAAGAGGGCAAACGTCTTATTCTTGAATATAGATTGTGAAGCTGGGAAATTTAGTTAACTAAAGATGGAAATATGAAGCTTCCATAAGAACATTTTCAAAAATAACTCAAAAGAAGGGGGGCAAACTTACATTTTCCAAGGGCAATATCAATTCCATCGATAGCATCCTTGGTCCCAAGAACATGTCTCCAAACTGCATAAAATCAATCCCAAAATTTCATCAAGAAGTTAGTAATTAAAGCAAAATTGGAGGATAATTCTAAATCAATCAGTGGAGCTAAAAATTCAAC